GGGCGGCGGTGGGGAGCAGCCGTATGTGCTGCTGAGCTCTGAGGCGATAATGACTCAGATGAAGGTGCGCCCGATGACGTCAGCAGGGGGGGGGGGGCCTCGCCGGGCCCCCCCGCGTGGCCCTGGCCACTTTGGTGTTGGGCACGGCGCAATGCATGTGCCTGATCAAGTGAGGCTCATGATACGATTCGCTCCTGATCGCGGCAAATGCAAAGGCCTTGAGGTTTTTGCTTCGGACAAAGCATCAAAGCCCCGCTGCCGCCCCGCGGACGCTCGCCGCCCGCATGACCCCAACCTATGGCCTCGGGTCAAACAGGTCAACGGCCTCCCCCGCGGCGGCCCCGGCGCGGCGGCGGCGCGCGCGGCGGAGCTGCAGGGGCTGGCCGACGCCGCCTTTGACCGCCTGCTGGAGCTCGCCAGCCAGCACCCCTCGAATTACATCATCGACGCCTGCAAGTGCGTTCGTGCGGCTCGACCCCCTGACCTGATCTGATCTGATCTGGGCTGGTCTGCTTGTGGGATGCCGTTTTTGGCAAGTGAGGTCCCCTTCTCGGCGGGTTTCTGCCACATCACAACCGCCGTGCATGGGCACTTTTTTAAATTATTGCAACCCCGGGACGCCACTCCCAGCCTTCTTTCGTCCTCCGGGAGAGCCCACAGCGCCCATGAACACCCCCTCCCCATCCACAACCGCACCCGCGCAGCATCTACGCCGAGCAGCGCCGCTGGCGCCTCGAGCCCTTCCGCGCTGCAGGGTTCCGCCTCGCCGCCGCGGTCTGCGCGGCGCCCGAGGCCGTCCTCCTGAAGCGCCTGCAGCAGCGGCCGCCCGCGCTGCGGCCCGCGCCCGAGGATTTTTTCGAGATGGCGGCGGGGTTCGAGCTGCCCGCCCCAGGGGAGTTCGATGACGTCATCGTATTGGGGGGCGCGGCGGCGACGGCGGGGGAGGCGGCGACGCTGGTGACGGCGCAGCGCGCGGCGGCGCGGGTGCGGCTTGCGGCGCTGCAGGGGGGCGGCGGTGTGCAGGCGCCGCCGCCGCTGCATCCGCAGCAGCAGCAGCAGCAGCAGCAGGCAGGTGGCGGTGGCACAGCCGCGCTGGCGTCACGCCAGGGCGCTGGTCAAGGGGAGTGGGGCAGCAGCGTGGGTGTCCAGGCGCCGCAGGCGTGGGGCACCTCAAACCCCCGGCAGCAGCAGGAGGAGCAGCAGCAGCAGCAGCACCAGCAGCAGCACCAGCAGCAGCAGCAGCACCAGCAGCAGCAGCAGCGGGGAGGCGGCAGTGGTGCTGCGGCGACGCAGGCATTGCGCCAGGGCTCTGCCTCAGGGGCTTGGGGCAGCGGCGTGGGGGCGACGGCGGCGCCGGGATGGGGTGCCGCAAAGTCTCCATTTAGTCAGCAGCAGCAGCAGCAGCAGCAGCAGCAGCAGCCAGCCGCTGCGTCGGGCCCCCGCCCCCGCGCCCCGCCGCCAAACCCCTTTCTGGCAGCCCAACAGGGCGAGTGGCAGCTGCCGTGGCAGCCGACCCCAGAAAACCCCCTGTCTTCCGCCACTGTCGCGGGCGCGGTCGCGGCAGCGCATGAGATCGCGGGCAACGGCGCGGGCGCGCAGCAGCGGCGGCCGTCGCGGCAGCCGACGGGCCGGGCGCTGCCTTGCATCCGTGCGGGCGGCGGCGGCGGCGGCGGCGGCGCGCCGTCTACCAGCAGTGAAGAGGATCTGGGAGAAGACGCCGCCGGCGCCCGCGATGACGTCACCCTCCAGATCGAGATCTCCGAGGATCTGAGGCGCGATCTGTCAGCCCTGACCTGCTACGACCCGGCGCCGCTCGTGGCGGCGCTGGCGGGCGGCGGCCCCAGCCGGCGGCGGCCTAGGAAGGTTGGGAAGGGGTCTTATGGGACTGTCTGGGGCGTCGCGGCGGCGGACCTGCTCCCGGCGGCCGCGGACGGCTCCGCCGCCGCCGGGTGCACTGCCGTGAGCGCGCCGGCGAGCGACGACGATGGCGGCGCGGAGAGCAGCGGCGGCGGCCGCGGCGGCGATGATGCGGCTCAGCCCGAGGGCGAGCTGTTGGCCGTGAAGGTCCTGCGGGCGCGCCACTGCAGCGCTGAGGAGTTTTTGCAGGAGCTGCAGATCCTGGCCAGGTGCCGCCACCCAAATCTGGTCAGGCTCGTGGTGAGCCGCCCCCGCGTGCGTGTTGGCGGTCTGAATGCTAGCAGCCCGCACGACGACGCCGCCCGGTTCTCAGGGTTTCCCTGGGAGGGCTGGTCCGGCCCGGCCGCCCTTTGCTGTGGGGGCCGGCGAGCCTGGTCAGGCTCGTGGTGAGGGGCCCCCGCCCGCCCGCCCGTCCGCCCTCCGGCGGCTTCGAACCCATCTGGGCGACCGCCAATTTAGGGGTCCCCCGGGCGGCCCGGCCCAACCCTTTCTTCAGATGTGCCCCCGCTACAACTGGCGGGCTGCAGTTCCGCCGCGCCGGCAAGGGCAGCCTGCGCCTGGGGAAAGCCCCCCTGCCGCAACCAAACCTAAAAAAACACAGCACTCTGCACTGCGCGGGACGCAGCATCACCCCCACAAGCACAACTACAAAC